CAGCAGGAAAATACAGAGTTTATTTAGAGGCAGAATTATGTTTTTCAGGATATTCTCATGTTAGCATGTTTTACACTAGCTCTTACCGGCTCCTGTCAGGATCCAGTCTCGTTGTGCTGCACAGCAAGAAAACCTGGTTGCTGTCCAAAGAGCCTCAAAGCATGGGAGTATGCCTAGAGTCACAGAAGCACTAAGGTTGGAAAAAACCTCTAAGATCATCGCAATGCAAGGGAAGGCCCTCACAGCAGGCAGCTGAGCACAGACGAGCCCTGGCTCCGGCTGGGACCTGTGTCGCTAAGGCAATACCCACTTCATCACGATACTGATCCAAGCTGGCCTGAGCGGAGGAAGAGGAGAGAGACTCTACAAAACTCTGCAAGAAGCTTCATGTGAGCCTGCAGAAATGGCTATAGGGAAGGCTGGAGGCATAAGCACATTCCCCTTCTGGGAACAGCATGTCTGGGCAGCAGCAAGAGAGCAGACGTTCCTCTTGCATCTTTGCAGAAGGCTCACTAATGTACGCATGACATTTTCAGCGTAAGAACTACATCGTACTTCCTACCCGCTATGTCTAATAGCCTGTCTGACAGGCGGGAAGGCAGAAGACCTTCAGGCAGTGCCTGCTACCTCTGCTCCTTCTCCCACCCCATGGGGTACCTTGCTTCCATAACTGGAATTTGTCTATTCCTTGCTGGCACTGCACTTACCCCTGTTGCCTTTTTGTATTTTAAGTGCTGTTCTCAAACCAAACAACTCTCCCATGTGCTAAGAAGCTCTGTCTGCTGCTTTCCACCTTTCCTCTTTTCCCTGGATGCCAGTGAGAAGAAAAACCGGGCAGAGTCTCAAAGTGCTGATTTCCACCTGAGAGGCAACAGATCAAAGCTGAAGACAAAGTGGCCCCAAGGAAAACATTCAGCCTGGGAGCTGATTGCCCTGAGGTCCTTCACTTGTCTTTGTGCTCGGCAGGCTGGGCCACACAAGTGAACGGTCTGAAGACAAGGATTTTCATTAGGAGGGCATGGGGCCAGGTAACAGCTTTCAGTGTGACTTCCTCACCACCTCTGCCTCCAGCTAGCAACACCTCATATTTGTGAATCTTAGATAATTAACACGTTAATGATTAAATGTCCCCATGAGTGATCAACCTAGGACTGAAACCATTTCCTAGTGATCCAAGGTAACGGGTAAACATCTGTACTTTGCAGCGCAGAACTCGGAGTCGAGGGATGTTTCCAAACCACTGCAGTGTCCTCTGCAGAGCAGAGCGCTGAGCCCCGGGAGCCCTGCTCCCCAGCAGACCTCTCCTGTCCCCCCTGCATGTCCTCCGCTCTGCACTTGCAGCAGGGCTTCTAGCA